CCATCGGAAAACACATATTTCTGATGGTCTTAGAAACCGAGACACCGCTCCTCTATCCAGCCGCTGCCGCTGCTGCCCTCCTCTTCCTCCTCCGCCGGCTCCTCTACCTCCAGGGCGCCCTTCTCCTCTGACAGCGCCTGCTCCTGCCGCCGCAGCGCCATCGCACATGCCCCCAACGCCGCCCTGGGCTGGCTCAGCAGCCGTTCCGAGCCGGGTCTGGACCGCTGCTGGCGCTGCCGCTGGGCTGCTCCGCCACTGCCGCCGCTGCCGGCTGAGCTGAGCTGCAGAGTTCTATTATATTGTTATAGGTTACGAAACCTTGATTTTACTAAAAAAGAATCATGATGAGGCCATTCTGAGTTTCTTGTTCATCTTAGTCCCAGAGTAACATAGAAGCAGAACTACAGTACCAGAATTCTGTCCCTAGCAAAAAAAAATCTGCTTTATAAACTCCACCAGGGGTGCCCACAGAGGGGACAAGGAACACAATAATGTCACAGATATCTTGACATCATAACCCAAATGATACAAATAATATAATTTGGTCACATTACCTCATGCTATCCATAAATACGAATTGTAGTTACACACTGTTCTAACCCATGGCCATCAATTCTGATTATAGTTGCTTGGAATCATACATCAAATTTACAAATCAGAATGGTTGAGTGCTTGTTTAACGACTACTCATTTAACAAATGTTTAAACTTAGGCTGATGCTGAATGACTAGTGGTTACAATCAGTCCTCAGAGTTTCAGTTGTTGCAGCATGGTCACGTGATCCCAATATGTGACCCTAGCCAACTTCTCAAAAGCAAAATCACTGAGGAAGACAGCAGGAAGTTAGTAGTGATTACATGAGATCCTTGCTTAACAACCAGTGCTGCCCTTACTTTATGATGGCAACCAGAACTACCAGCAATATTTTAAAATATTTTTCTTTTAAAATTCATTTTTTCCCATGCAAATCTACAAGTTCAACTCCTTTTGTAAGGCCTTATTTTATCCAATTTCCTTTCAGTTATTAGGGTTTTTTTTTTACTGCAGTTGTTCACTTTATATTCAAAAGTTAAATGCCTTGTAAATTGTCCACCACAAGATTAAAATGGGCACATTGGGAACAAAACAGAATAGAATAAAAGCTGTTCTGTTTTGAATATAAGCCAAATTTCTAGATTAAAAAAAATTAAGGACATTTATGACAGTCAGGGATAAACCTGAAACCCAAACATAATGGATAAAAAACTTTACTTCTGAAGTTAATCTGATTTCACCATTGAAACCAGGATGCAGTTACATTGGCATGTTCTTTAGCATTTTATTAAGTATCCTGATTTATTTTGATTTCTTATGTTGGAAGAAAAAAAATCATCAGGTCCAGTCCAAGCCTGGAATAAATAAAATGGAGGCTGTTTAGAAAGAAGGTTCTGTTTATTGAAGAACAGAACCAACAGCATGTGGTTCTGGGACAGCTAACAAAATGGAGTTGGAATAGGTGGGCTTTTATACCTTCTTTGGGCTTTGTATTTGAGGTTCTTTCTGCTCCTATGTTCTTTGACCTGAGCTTGAGTGTGCCATTATGGTCTACTAATGGTGGTGGGTTAATTGTATTATTTCTTAAAAGTCATGTTCTTGTCCTTGGGAGTCTTTGTTTTTTTAATCCCATCAGCCCAAACCTTCTTTGGGGCTGTGGCTGAAGGCATTTTGTTTATGAATAGTGGCCCCAAATCTGCATTTCTAAAAGCTGGCCTTCTTGGGGGAAGGAGACTGGGGGCTGGTTTCTGCCTAAGATTTTTCTCCATTATTCCTTTGAGGAAATATAATATTCTGCCCTTTTTTAAATATCCCCCAAATATTTCCTTCTCTAGAAGGGTGAGTGGGTGCTGACTTCCAACACTTATTTAGTATTCTATCACTATCTCTGAGTATTGTTATGGTTTATGATGATTGTATTTTATGATTATGATCATGATTTATCACTTGTTGCTTGTACATATACTAAGAGCTTATGAACCAGAAGCAAATTCCTTGTGTGTCCAATCACACTTGGCCAAATAAGAATTCTATTCCATTCCATTCCAATTCACGTTTAGTTTTGCTGGTGATTGAATGTTTATTTTGCAGTTACAGGATAAAATACTGGCTATTTTCCTACCATTGTCTGGTTAATTGGGCAAGGAACTAATGGTTGGTAATGATTATTTTTTCTGTGAAACGAACTCAAAACGAAGCTCAAAAGGGTTGTTTCCAGTTCAAAACATTTCCAGAGTAGCTGGATGAGCTGTTTTAAGCACGGAAGCATTGGCAACGCCACACGAAGCATACATTTTGAGTTCAAACTATTTTGTTCATGAACACTGCATTGGGTACCCCAAGTGATGCGGAGTTGCTGCACCTCAGGAGTGTGAAGATACCGCCACAAACAACGCAAAAATAGTAAGAGGACTCCTTCGTGACTCATACTATCCAGCGCTGAACTGAAATCCGACAACTTTAAATATCACAAATGATTGGAAGTCAAGGAATTCTTCAATCAATTTCGCCCAGAAAGGATCACGAATTACTTTAAGTCGCTTCTCAAGGCAAGCTCGGAGAACTGCGCCTGCGCACTCCATTGCGGTTTGGCCGTTCCGCGCGCTTGGACATCATTATCATCCCCATTAAATGTAAAGTAAAACATCTTCGGCTATTGAGGGGTGGGGAAGGGATGCCGGGCACAAAGAACGGGCGTGAGGTCATCACTAAGCGTCGTTTTGAGGGTAGCAGGCTTTCTGAAAAGTCCAGGGCCGCCCGGCTCTTGGCAAAGGGCTCGATGCATCCTTTTGTCGTCATGACTGTCGCTGTTGTTGTCGTCATCGCCGCCGCCGGGTTCCTTCTGCCCCAGCGCCTCACCCCGCAGCTTGTTTTGCCGTTGCCGCCGCTCTGAAGGCGCTCCGAGGGCTCGCGCCTCATCGGAGTGGGCACGCGGGTAAGGAAACCGCGGGAAACCGGGGCTGGCTGGAAGATGCTCGCTCGCCGGCCCGCCCGGCTTCTTCTCCTTCCCCCTCCCCCTTCTCGTCTTTGTCTCCATCTGTTACTCCCAGTTTGGCTCAGTCGCGGAGAAAAAGCAGGCCGGGAGGGGAGGGCGCTCGCGTGGACGGGGTGCCCAGGTGCTCCCTTGGCCCGCAGGGTCCTGGTGGGCTGGAAACCCGGGTGGGGGCCATGCAAGCGATGCCAAGGGAAGGCGGATGGGGAGGCTGGGAGAGATGCGAGGAAGATGGTGGAAAAGAGAGGGAAGACGAATAAAAGGGGAATTGGGGGGTGGCCGGAAAAGCGGGGAGGGGAATCCTCGCGAGACCGGGTGGGGGGTGGGGGAGATTAAGGACCTGCTCGATTCTGGAGAGAAATTGTGTTGCAGGGGAGAGAGGGGAGTTGTGTGTTGATGAATGAGAGTTAAGGTGAAAAATATGCTGTTATGCGGGATTCTCGTTTCCAACAAATGATGAGCAGGCCGTAGGGGGGGGGGGGAATCACGCCAGAGGAGAAGGGAACCCGGAAAGATCTGCCCATAGGACGAAGAACGCCTTTCTGAACAGAGATGCCCTTGTTACAGATTGAAGATAATGTGCCTTTTCACCAGGTAGAATAGAATAGAATAGAATACTTTATTGTCACTTTACGTGTATACTAATCGGCATACATTAAAATGAAATTTCATTGGATACAGCTCTCAAATGGTCACCATCTCCAATATATACTACATAAATATGACAAAAAATTGCATGTACCCACATATCCATCTTTCTAATGCAGGTGTATTGAAAATATTCCGTACGCATGCATTTAAAAAATAAAGGAGAGTGTATAGTGAAATATTGATCCATGATCATGGATCGGAATACAAGCCTTGTAGCATTTTGATGAATCTAGGTCAGTGGTTCTCAACCTTCCTAATGCTGCGACCCCCAACCATGTGGTCGTAAGTTGAGGACTACCTGTATTTCCCTGTGGGCGGGGGCAGGAGGAGGGGGTGGGGTTTGCTCGCTCTCATTCTCTCTCTCTCACTCACTTTTTCTTTTTCTCTGGCACGCACGCTCTGCCTCTTCTCCGGCTGGAGTGCATGCCGGGCAGGCCGAGGGCGCACGTGGCCATCGCCCAGAAACTGCTTTGGCCCGGGAGCACTGCGCATGCGTGGTGCTGCCCCCGCGCCAGCCGAGGCGTAGCTGGCAAGGCGCCACTGCCTGCAATTTCATCATGCGGAGGGCTCGGCTCGGACCAGCCGCCCATGCAGCTGAGCTGGCCCGGGGCAGTGTCAGGGGCGCGTTTTAAGCGTCTGGACGTCAGTGGGGAACCGGCGGGGCCGTTACACACTGCCCGGCTCCTGACAGCCAGCTGAGAGTCGGCCCCATGCTCACCAGCTACCCTCCCAGCGCCCGCTGTTGCCCTGCTAGCCTTACTTTGGCCACTGCCTGTTCGGTGCAGCGGCAGGCAGGCCCAGGCGTTCCTGGGCAGCCATGGCAAGCGACGGTGCAGGCCGACTACCGGCTGGGCCACCAGCTGGCCCAGCGCAAGGGAGGTAAGCCACCCGCCGGGCTCCACGCATGCCAGCTACCCTCCCAGGGCCTGCTGCTGCCCTGCTAGCCTTACCTTGGCCACCGCCCATTCGGTGCGGCGGCAGGCAGGCCCAGGCGCTCCTGGGCGGCCCTCCCACCCCTGGCCCTCTTTTACTTACATTTAGTTGCTCAGCAGAGAGGGGTGGAAACTTCCAAAAAGCTCGCCTTAGCTGCAGACAACTTGCAGCAATGTTTGCCAACTGGAACTTTTGGCGGGCTCAGCAGGGCAGAGAAAGCCTGGACAATTCCTATTGGCTTTTGAAAGCCAATAGAATTAGACTCTATTCAAGAGAGTCTATTCTATTGGCGTTCAAAAGCCAATAGAATAAGAGGGAGTAGCACAGCTCATGAAAAAGGGGGAACCCCCCCCAAAAAATGCCGGACTGCGTTTCATAAGGATTCTATGGACTTTGGCGACCCCTGTGAAATGGTCGTTTGACCCCAAAAGGGGTCGCGACCCACAGGTTGAGAACCGCTGATCTAGGTAGTCCTCTTATCAACTGACCCATATATAGGGAGAGGATGGTGATGAAAAAAAGTTTGCAACCAGTTCTTGCATTTATGACCTTTACTGGTTGTAAAGCAAAGGAAAGCTGAATGAAGATCATAAGCACAGTGACAGTTTGCTGATCACTAAGTGAGGACTACCTTTACATTTATTATACACAAACTTGTGCAGTATAATGAGCTAGGTTTTCTGCTATAGCAGGATGTGCAGTCTTAGTTATAGAGATGATCTGAAATATTTTGATTAAATGATAAAAATTATTAATTGCGGTTTCCTGTTGGTGTCTTATGATTATCACTTTGTTGGTTGTTTCTTATGATTTATCATTTTGTTGCTTGCATGTACTGAAAGCTTATGCACCGGAGACAAATTTCTTGTGTGTCCAATCACATATGGCCAATAAAGAATATTCTATAAAAATTAGTCGGTTTGAATTATGGTATGTTTTTATATAAATACAGGGTTGAAGGTTGGTTGCTGAGTGTTTTATGGTAGAAATAAATTATGTGAGAATAAATTCAATGTTTAACAATGATTCAATAATGACAGCATATAAGGCAATTCCTCTTGGTTTTTTAAATATATATTTTTATATCTTTGTCATTCTTGGCTGAAGTTAGAGATCTGTTGGTTAGAAACATGAATATACCTGTATATTCAGAGGATGCTAAAACCAGCAATTATTTCCAAAAATGTTAGGATAAGAAAATGTTAGAGGAATATGGAACTGCTAATTAATATATCAAAGTTTGTGAGAGTTGTGTTTGACAGAAAAAATGGAATAAAATATAAAGTATACATTCATGGCAAAAACGAGAGCAAATAATGGCTACCTGAATCTTGGTAGATTGTTCCCTGAAAATAGAAAAACAGATGGAGGAATTTTAAATACAAATGCTGATAATAACAGTCTGGGTAGTTGGTGGTCTATTGCAGGAGATATTATATATTAAAAATTTAAAATGGGTATAAAAGCATGCTTCTGTCTAGTTTGTTATATGAAAATAAGAATTGGTTATGTCATGAAAAATATAAAAGTAATTTGAATGCAGTGTGGATGTGGTATTAAATATGAATATGATAAAACAAATAGAGTCAAAAATTGATGTAGAAAAGTACCTTGCAGTTGTTTAGTCCTACAGAGAGAATTAATGAGAGTTCAAGTATAAAATAAGTATATGAATGTATACTTTCATAAGTATATTCAGCTTTCTCTTTTTAGGGCCCCCCATGTAGGCTACTCACATTAAAAGCATAACAATTCTATTTGAAGGACCCTAAGTATTGAAACTAATAGTTTTGTGAAAGGTAAACTTATGCAAACACATAAACTTGTTTGTCTTATACAAAAGGTGAATGTCCTTAAAATGTCTGGACATTGTACTAAATTGTGCCACAACCTTAATAGTCTGGCCTAGAGTTTCAGATAAAAACTTTGTGAGTGCATTTGAATTATAGGCAGAAGCTTTCAGAATTAGAACATTTGTATCAACTCTGCAACGAACCTGGCTGAAGCCATTTTGCTTGTTTTCAGTTGCCACAAGTATGGGAGGAGAGTTATGGAATTTTATGCTGGTCTAAACAATTCTCTGTCCCGTGGGAACCAAGGTTATTTCTGTTCGTTAGACTGGGGGCGGCTGAGCCTTATGTTAGAAAGCCCGCCAAACTATTCTATTGGGAAACGTAGTTGATTGCATAGTACTGGAGTAGGAAGTTTAACTTTGTATAATGTAACTTTTGGGAGGGAACTTTAGTCTTGGTTTCACTTTTGACCGTGCGGATACTTTGTAACCAATAAACACGTTCTTAGAAGAAAACTCAAGCCTCGGAGTTTTGTTTTAGTTGGTTTCATTTATTGGAACCATGACAATTTGTTATATACGTCTTTGCTACACAGAGGAAAAATTGTGAAATTAGTTGTGGATTTATACATCAAGTACAAATGAATGGGTTTGTCAGGGCTTTGATGGTTTCTAATAGAAATTAGGATAGGCTGTGTCTTGTATTGATTATTGTATTTTTAATAAATTTAAATGGTAAATAAAACCATTTCTTAACAAAGCACAGAAATAAATAAAGCAGAATGATATCAAAGGCCATCTAAATTTCATTTAGCTTTTCATTAAAAAGCAGCAGTTGGCTTGGGAGAATAATAGCAAATATAGAAAACATAATGTTTTATAAAACCAAACTATATTGAGGAAACAACATTCAGTTTATTTCTATATGACATTTACTCTGCTTATTTTATTTGTTACTATTTTATTCCACAGTACATATGCTTTGCTGAGATCTAAGGTGGTTATAAAGAAATACACATATGGAAGCAACAGCTATGAGGGTCATAAATAATTGCAAACAATTTTCAATCTGAAAATTTTGTTTTAAAAATGATGTAATTTTTCTCAAGAAAACCTATTTGCAAGCAATGTCATATATTTACACCATCATGGTAATAGTTGTGTCTGAGCTGAATATTTGTTTCTGTGAGAATATGTCTTTGTCTGAATCCTCTTGTACAGGCAAAGGGAATTACCAGGCACATTTGTTCAAAATGAATTTTGAATTTCTTCTGTATTCTGTCATTGTAGTTGTGTCTCTATCCAACTCCTAGAGCTTACTATATAGAAGCAGATACATGTAAAATTAAAGTTCTTTTTATTGGATATTTGGAAGATAGAAGCAGAAATATAAATGCTTATGTTCTCCTTTTTATGACAACTTATAATTAATTAGGACATCCTTGATATTTTCTATAAAGTAGTCCTTGATTTACAATCACAATTAGAACAGGAATTTCTATTGTTGAGTGAAGCAGTTGTTAAGCGAGACATTCATGTGACCACTTCACTCAATGACTGTAATCCTGGCTTTCCAAACTGCAGTCATCAAACAATCACCCAAGTTGTTAAGTGGAGTGCCATGGGAAAGGGCTCCCACCCCATCATGCCCTGGTCCACTTTCCTTTGATTTTCTCTGCAGCTGTAGGCATGGCCAGTGATGTAAAGTGCAGCTTTCCTACAAGGTTGCCACTCCCAGGTCAAGCACACACAAATACACAAAGGGATGGTTTGTTCTCTTTACTAAACAAGATTTGCAAACGCACACTTGAAGTATAAACACAGATTCTCCCCTCTGAAAGTTAAGCAGGTTTGGCTTACAAGTGTTCCAAATCAAAGCTGCACGTAGGAGTAGGAGAGTAGTTGGATGGAGTCCAAGGATCAAAGCATTTGGCAGACTGTCAGCCAGTCCAGATTCAAAGTGAGAGTTGCAAGATTTACACTTCAAGGCACACTGAGTAGGGGTTAACGGTTGTTGTTGTCAATGGAGAGATTGTGATTGCTACTCCATTTTAATAGAAGCAGTCCCTGTGTAACTCATTTTAGTGGCTTGACTCCTTCAGTGCAAGTAGTTTTATGGAGCACCTTTGCCCTACACTTTTTGCAGCCCTTGCATTATGATGGAGTGGTAATTTCATGTCCTCAATTTCAGAGAGTGATGGCAGCTATGTCTGCTTTTGCTGTTTTTCCCTACCTGTCGTGCTAGCTTGGATGGTAATCTGTCCAGTGGCAATGGAACTGACTGCTCATTTGCCAGCACTTCTAAAGCTGGTTCTCGTCTGACTGCTTGTCATTCGTCCCCTATTCTGATTCTGAATCTGGACCCACCATGATACCCAATCGTTCTGCAGGTAAGCCCCATTATTGCAATAATTGAAAGGCTCCTTCTTCAATTCACGCAATTTGGAGAAAGTGCCTTTCATACTATAAAGACCGATCGCATTAGCTAACCTTACTAAGAAGTTTAAAAAGCGAACACGATAATTCTGAAAGCTATAAATCTTTTTAGCCTTCAGAACACTGGTGTTCACTGGAAAGAGGCTATGGCAGGGGTCTTCAACCCCCGGTCCATGGACCGGTACTGGGCCACGGCATGCCACCAACCAGTCTGCAGAAACAAGCAAAGCCTCATCCGTGGGATGCAGGCAGCACACAAAACCATGCACTCTCCGATCCATGGAAAAACCTTTCTCCATGGAACTGGTCCCTAGTGCCCAAAAGGTTGGGGACTTCTAGGCTAGGGGAAACAGTCAGGATGATCACATAATTGCAGGGTGATTGGCAAATAATTGTAAATACAAAAAGGTTGCCAAGCGCCTAGAATGGGGTCGTGATTGGGAGGGTTCAGCGCAACATTTTATGACAGCTGGAAAAAGCTTTCGGGATTGTAAAGCATCCTTTTGAAGGTTGTTACAACTTCAAATAATTGTTAAACAATTGGTCATAAGTTGAGGACTGTCTGTATATTTTCAGCTGTATCTATCTCAAAGTCCCAAATTCAACTAGTATCGATATAGATGAGACATGTCAAACATAAGGCCCGGGGGCCGGATGCGGCCTGTGAAGTGGTTTCATGTGGCCAGCGAAGCCATCCTGGAAACAGTGAGGGAACGGCCCCCCACTGCCTTCCCCCAAGGAACCAATGTACAATTTTGTGCTGGCCATCTTGGCACTTGCCCCAGTGGACCATGCCTTGGCACTTGCCCTGGACCCACCCCTTTCTGCCAGAGACCCTCAGATCTGTCCCACTCTTGCCCAGGCCCCCCCATAGGCACCCTTGACGCGAATGATGTAGAACTGGCCACACCCACCCAGTAGGCCACACTCACTCCATCCACGCCCACCCATTAGGCTGCAGCCACTCTGGTCACACCTACCCGGCCCCCGCAGGGCAACTATAATGGTTGATGCGGCCCTCAGTGAAATTGAGTTTGACACCCCTGATATAGATGATTATGCCCTTTAGGAAGAATAAGATTGATATTATTATTGATATTTGAGATGAGATAATTGTTTTCAGTCGTGAGGAAAAAAAACCCAATAGTTATTTGGTCATGTTTAACTATGTTGCACTTGTTACTTAATCCTTCCCCTGGCCACATCCTTTTCATGGATTAATATAGAGGTAGTCCTTGTCTCACAACACTCATTTTCAAACTTACAATGTCGCTGAAAAAAGTGAGTTACAACCACTCTCCATACTTATGACTGTGGCCACATCTCCACGGTCACATGATCGAAATTCAGACACTTGGCAAGTGGGTATGAATTTACAATGGTTGCATGTCCTTGGATCATATGATGACCATCTGCAATCTTCCCAGCTGGTTTACAACAAACAAAATCATTCATTTAATGACTGCATGATTCATATAACACCTACAGTGATTTGCTTAACAACTGTGGTAACAAAGTTCGTAAAATTGGGTATGACTCATTTAATATCTGTCTTGCTTAGCAATAGAAATTTTGTGGTCATAATTCAAGAACTACCAATATAAGGAAATGTCCCTGTAGTGGTTTCTGAATATTAAAATCCATCTTTATTTCGCACAGGCACCCTTTTGACTATTGTAAGTATTTTGGCTCCATAATTGTTGACTGAACAGACTGGTATTGGACAAGACAATAGTTCAGTATTATACAACTATTTAATGATCCAGCCTGGCTGCCAAATAACTGCTTGAGATAAATACCTGGCCAAATTTTTCAAATGAAGTTTTTTTTATATAATATGTAGGAACACGTATTTCTCTCTGAACTACAAAAATAGCCAAGACTTGCAGAGATACTTTATAAGCTTCTCCCGTCAGATAGGAGTGGATATCATATTCTCCTGTCTGGATATGTATGTATGTACGAGATTGTTAGTGGAATGCCTTTCTAATGAAGTATCAGATATTTGTCTAAATTTTACACTGATTGAAATCTTAAATGTTTGCAGTGGAATGCATTATACTTATAGTTTTGTCTGTAAAAATACACAAGGGGATGGGTTTATTTGTTTTTGTTTTAGAGTGATCTTTGGAATCATGATTAGAGTTTATAAATGATGCCTAATGCTTAGTATGATATATTAACTAAGTAAATTATACCTTATTCAACAAACAAATATTTAAACAGATCTTGGCTTAGTATGACATTTGCACCCAAGAATAGTAGAAGTGGGAAGAAAAAGGTAATATTGATTCATGGGGACTCCATTTTTATCTAAAACACATCTATACTGCTTTTTCAGGACTCATGCTTTAACGGTCTTATAAAAATGGTATAAAAATCATATTAATAAAAAGGAAACATTGGTAATGTTTGAAACCCTGGTCGTTAAAGCAGTCACTAAAATTAATTTAATCTTAGAATTAAGATAGTATTGCAGACAGAATTATCCAATATAATACATGTAAGGAATGTATGAAGAGAATAAACATGAGTTTTTCTAGCATCTTGCAGTGAAGGCGCTTGTCTTAAAATGTACAGCATTAAAACAGTTTGGAAAAAATTAACGTACTTTCCGGCATATAAGATGACTTTTGCAAGCATTAAAATCGGCGCCAAAGTCGGGGGTCGTCTTATACGCCGGAAATAATGGTAGTTTCCGGCGTATAAGACGACTTTCTAGGCATGCGACTCGGCGCTGAAGTCGGGAGTCGTCTTATACGCCGGGTCGCCTTATAGGCCGGAATATACGGTATCCGAAAAAACTAAGGCAAGAATAGAGCAGTGCTGACTGATAACCATAGCTCAAGCTTGCTAAGATACACATCTTACACTACATTATATCGTTGATCATCTTCATTAAAAACGCCTTATTTTTTCTCCAGTTACACTTTGTTTATGAGGGACCATTTTAATTCCCAGCAATTTAAAATTGCATATCATAAACTGGCAGAAGTGAAGCACAAAGATCATGAATTTGTTTAATTTGGACCGCTTTCGCTTTGAGAAGAGGACCAACGTTGAAGGACAGAATGATCCATCTTCAGATTCTCCTGAAGATCAAAAAGCACCCACAATTCCTTCTCCTTCAGAAGATCAGGCTACTATTGTTGGTGGAGAAGATGATGATGATCGTACTAATGAACCAACCTCTCCAGCATCTGATGTGTCTGAGGAAACTGGTAAATCCTGTTTTTTTTTCTAATTTATACATTAATCAAGACCCTATGTACATCACTTTACTGCTCTAGAGTACACTTCAAAATAAATTACACCAAAACAAAAATACTGGTATTCTCTAGAAAACTATTTAGTTATTTATTAAATTACAGGATTCAGTCTGGGTCGGTCACCAGGACCAGAGATTTTATCTTCCAAACTTTCAGACTTATACTGGAGCCCATCTTTAGGGAACTGTAATTTATGAAATCCTCTGCATGGATTGCCCCTGTGACTATGTAGAACAGACAGGGAGAAAGCTAACCACCAGATTGCAAGAACACAGGCAAAAGGTCATACAAGGAGACCTGAACTCATTGGTAACCTCACACTGCAATGAACAAGGACACACATTCAATTTTACAACTACTAAGATTGTTGGATGAGCAGGCACAAAAACAGCCAGAAGGTTATTGAAGCCTGGGAAACAGACCCCTTGTCAGTCAAAGGAGTCACGATTTATCACCCGCCCATCAAGTACTTAGTAGGCGAGAGCTGGGCAGCACAAGTAAATGACAGCTAATGACTTAGAAGCCAGCCACCCAATCAACATCTAAAAAGCCACATACAACAGGCACTATAAATGTCACACATAGAACAGCACACACTCTGCTAGAGAGAAGTCTCCTGAAGATGGCTTCAGCACAAGTCCGGAAGCTTGGAAGACAAAATCTCCGGTCCCTGTGACCGACCCAGATTGGATCCTGCAACATTATCCTGGGATATGTATATTCACCTTCATTCATGACTTATTAAATTACTACATTGCTCATCTCACTAATACAGTGACTCTGGGTGACTTATAAAAAAAAGCTAAATAGTACAAAAAACTCCACAAAATTAAAATAAAAAGTTAAAAATCAGATGATGGGCATCCTGGGCATGAGAAATTTTAAGACCCCAATTAAGTGACAATTCACAGCAACCTCATTCAAGCTGGCAAAATCTTTTAAGTTGCTAGGTCTCAATTTTCAGTCTTCTGACTGCTGGCATATTGAAAGAAAAAAGCTTCTAGTAAAAGCCCCAAATAAATCTAGCAATTGCTAGTTTAGTAACAATTATGTTTCAGCAACTATTGAACCAACGTTCTGAGTTTGCTGCTACCGTATTTCCCTGAAAATAAGACCTAGTCTTTTTTTTTTTTTTGCCTCCAAAAGAGGCACCACATCTTATTTTTTGAGGGTGTCTTTTCCACTCACCTCACGGCAGCAGCACTGACAACCCCATCCAACCAGCCCACTTCTGTAGTGGAAGGAGCAGCTTCATTCTGCAGCTGAGAATGGAGCTCCAGCCTGCATTTCGAAGTCAGAGGCCTTCTGGAAGACCTGTGCAGCCGAGAACCAAGCTACGGTTGAATCCATAACTCAGTTCTCAGTTGCAGAGACCTTATGCAGGCTGGGGAATATTGCAAAAGAAGTAGCCCAGAGAAAGGCAGGTGTCAATTCATGGGAGGCTTGGTAAGTGGGTACAAGGCACATGGGGCAGCTCCATCCCCCCCACCCCAACCCTAGCTTGATTTTTTAGGCATGTGCTTCGCCCCAAAACTAGAGCTTATTTTTGGGGTAGGGCTTATATTAGGCCCGCCCCCAAAATCAAGCTAGGGCTTATTTTCCGGGAAACACGGTATGTTAGTGCTTAGTTACATATTTATAAGGAGCCTCTTAGAAGCAATCCAGTCAAAATTCTTGAAAATGTAACTACAAGTTTCTTTTTCAACTTCTGATGCTCCAATATGACTAAAATTAAAGGCCTGATTAAGACTGCATTGTCTGAGATTGTCTTGACTGAAGTAGATCTAAGTTGCCCAAGTACCGAATTAATAAAAGTCCACTAAATAGTAACTAAGCATATTATCAAACTGTCCAGCTTTCTCAATACCTGAGAATAAGCAGCTGATTTCAACCTTGGTCTTTGAAAAAGCTGGTGAGAATATGATTCTGCAGATGTATAGAAGATGAATAATTTCTGGTGGGTCTAAATCCTGACTAGACTCTTCTCAGAAATAGATAACACATGTGTTGCACCTATCCACTAGAAACAAACTATAATATACCTTATCTTTAAAAAGGGCAAATGAGAACAATCTGCTGATTATTGCCCAATTACTCTGCTAGATATTTCTTCTATGCTATATAAAAGTTTCTGAACAAATTAGAAGATTGGGAGGAAGAAACAAAACTCTTGTATCCAGAACAGGCAGAGTTTTAAAAAGGATGTAACATAGTAGATTATTATGTAATAAGGACTTTGAAGATCCTTTTTGAAAAATATATCAATAGGCTACCTCTGCCATTGACAAATCTCAATTATGGGAAAAACTAGCTAAGACAGATATCAATAAGCACTGTCTTAAACTAATCATTGAACTACATACGGTTCTGACATTTCAGGTAGAATAAGAATATGCCCATAGGGGTCCTTGTCAGACCTTATCTTATTGGGGAGAGGAGTTAAACAGGGCAACTCGGCTCATTTATCTTCTATATTAATGATATTGTAATGGTTATATTATCCTTCTGGTGACAAAAGTTTAGAGGTCCCCAGAACAGCTGAAGCTGTTAGAAACCATCTGATTCCTCCCTCATGTTATTGTTAGCTGCTAATTGTTTTAGAATTTTCTAGCAATCTTTAAAATTTCTTCTGATAGTTACTATAATGTATTCTGGTCTCTTATTGTATTTGGTTTTGTTGTAAATAAATTTTGATTTGTAAATCCAGTTTACAAATAAGTGTTTATTATAGGTTTCCTAATGACGTGTATTATTTATTCATCTTTTTAAAAGACCAAACAGCTTTGTTGTATATGCTATGTGTCATTTAGAGTCTCCAAACATGTGGAACTAAAATTTCCACAGTTCTCCAGCATGAGGATGGATAATCCATGGATTGGATTTCCTGAAGTCCCTTCTACCCAATTAGACTAAGTCTGAGAGATAGCCACGCCTCTTGCTGGGTCACGTTTACCCAGTTCCGACTTAGTCTTTACCCAGACAAGACGCGTTGATGATTATCTCCAGACTCAGCTTATATTAAAATTTTTGTTTTTCCCTTATTTCCTATCCGTGGATTATCCTTCCTTTCCCCTTTAGTTTCTCTTCAGAACGCTGACCCTTTCTGTGCTTCCTTCCCTTAGTTCCACCCCTCCCCTCTGCCTCCCTATTACTTGCCTTCCCCAGCTATTGCAGCCTCACCACGAGGCTTTTTTTTTTTCTGTTTGGGTGATCAGGGCTTTGGGACTTGCAGCCTCAGCACGAGGTTTTGTTTACCTTGGTGTTCAGGGCTTTAGGGAGCTTGTGGCCTCAGCACGAGGTTATTGTTTACCTTCTGTGCTCAGGGCTTTAGGGAGCTGCGGAGTCTTCCATTCGATCCAGCTGGTCGGTGGATTGCTGTGGAAGCCCAGGACGACGGCAGATCGTTCCAGGCTGCTGGAGTCTCAGCAAGAAGCTTATTTCTTTTGTTTTCGGGGCTTGGAGGAACTGCGGAGCCTAACGGAAGCCCCGAACGACAGCTGATCGTCCGGGTTTGTACCGAGTCGCCACGTGGCTGGCGGCCGCCATTTTGCTTTTTTGGGCCTGGTCCTCTTGCATCGCAGAGAGTCACGTGGAGGCTGATCGCCACGTGGCTGGTGGTCGCCATTTTGGAGGAAAAGTTATCGCACAGTTTTGTTGTTTTTTTCTCAATTGCGTTGGTGAGAAACTAAAGAAAGATTTGTCTTTAAATTGAATTTTCTGATTTTATTGAGTGGCTGGAACAGCCTCCCCCCCCCATCTGGGGAGGGCAGAACTAATGCAGACAATCTCCAAGCACATTTCCCCAGCCATATCCACTTGTCATTGCCTTTGGCAATATATTGCAGCAGTATAGTTTGAATTGTCGTTCATTGGAAGTTAGATTCTCTCACCCCTGCTGCTTACTTAGAACCTATCTACCACATACTGCATTTTACAGTTTTTCTGCAAGGGGTTCACATACTGGTCACACCAGTTTTTTTTTTTTCAGTACCACACTGGGCCTCAGCTCCTAGCCTGTTTCAGACCCGTTCTCAGACTTGTGCTGAAGGGTCTCAGGCCTAGCTCTTTTGTAAGGAGTCCATACTGGTTTTCCAGCCTTTACTGCCTGGTACAACCCATTCTCAGACTTGTGCTGAAGGGTCTCAGGCCTAGCTCCTTTGCTGATTTTCCAGTCTTTATTACCGGGTACAACCCATTCTCAGACTTGTGCTGAAGGATTTTTTCAGGTCCTACCTTCTATGCCGAGAGCCCATACTGGTTTTACCAGTTTTTCTACTGTTTTTTACATTAGAACTTTACCTCCTACCTTTCTTAGACCCATTCTCAGACTTGCGCTGAAGGGTCCACAACGTGATGGCTGAAGACAAACAGCCTCAACTGGTTCTGGCACCCACCAGTCCTCCAAGTAAAAGGAGATGCAAATCTCCAAAAGTGGAGGCAACCGGCAAGGTCAAAGCAAAAGCAAAGGCCTTATCCGGCAAAGCACCATCCAAGACGGCGGAAAAGGAGGCTGTTAGGAGACATCAGGCCCTAGAGAGGCAGATATCCAAGGCTCAAAAGACAGCTCCATCACAACAGGTGCAAGCTGCATCTGAGACTTCTGAGACCTCTCTTTTCAATCCTCGGGTAACGACAATTGCACGGTTCACAGGCCATTGTCTCCGGAGGGTGGATCTCAATCTAAACCAGCGGTTCTCAACCTATGGGTCACGACCTCACTTGGGGTCGATCGACCATTTCATGGGGGTCGCCAAGCAAGGCTGTCCGCCATTTTTTCCCCTTTTCTGGCGGGTGCCTTACCTCCCTTGGGCTGGGCCAGCTGGTGGCCCAGGCGGTGGTCGGCCTGCTCCGTCTCTGCCACTTGCCAGCTACGCCTTGGCCAGTGCAGGGGGCGGCACCACGCATGCGCGGCGCTCCCGGGCAGGGAAAGTTCTCGACTTACGATCGGTTGG